GAGCCCGCGGCAGCGCGTGCTGCGTAGAGCCGTGTGCCCAGTATTTATGTGGGCGCTAAGTCCTGCTGAGGGAAGTCGCAGGTCGGAGCAAACGCCCCGAGCAACCGCTCAGCTCAGCAGCGGGAACAGAAGTGGCTTTCAGCACCCAAATCCTCCCCATGCTGTGTTGGGGTTTGTCCTGCGGCTCACACAAAAAGAGCCTTTGAATGTTTTGCAGAGACCTAAATTCTTCCCATGCAGAGTGATTACGAAGGAAAGGAAAAAAAAGGAGAAACCAGAGAGAAACGGAGTGGCACCCGGTACCGAGCCAGGCCCTGGGCCCTGCTGTCCCACGGCCCCGGACGCGCTGCCCTAGGGAAACGCTCCCGGAGCGGGCGCAGCGCCGGTGGAGCCGCTCCTGCTGCTGCAGGCACCGCCTGGCTGCACAGAGCGCTTCGTCTTTATTTACTCAGTTATTTTTCTACACAGGAAGGATTTTCACTAGAAGTTACTCTCCTGCTCAAAGTAAAGCCAATTTGCAAGGAGAGGTGAATCATACTGCCCTTAAAAAATAAATACATAAAAAAGTTAGGGCTCTTCTAAGTGAATAACTTTGGTTTTCCTGTTCAGTACTTAATAAGTGTTGCTGCTTATTAATCAATACTCACAAAAAAGCATGAAAAAGATTTACAGTTATTCAACTTTTTTCCACAGAAGTGTTTGGTTTGTGAAGGCCTGTACTTTGGCACAATTGTCCAAGAAAATCTACAATATCATTATTGATAATAGTTTAAACACTACATAGCAGCAGCCACAACACAGGAGGTCTTACGAGAGGAACCAAGAACGCTGCGTGTGCTTGCTTGGTGCGTTTGCCTTCCCTTCTCCGTACCGTTTGCTGCAGGGCTCGTTGCGGCGCGCGTTTGCCGCTGTTCGCAGTGGCTGCCCTGGGCAGGTTGCTGAGAGCAGCGCGCACATTCGGACATCACGCGGCTGAACCGACCCGCGCCCCCCTCGCGCAGCCTCTGCCTCCGGAGCTGGCGTCGAGGCCCTGCTCCTGCCACCTGAAATCTCCTGTTCCTGCTGCCGCCTCTCGCATTGCTCCCTCGGGCAGAGCTCTCGGGAGGACGCGAGTAACTGCCCCGTCTGCTCTCCGCCGGACATGGCATTGCCGCGCGGTTGGTACCGCTGCCGCAGCCCGGGCCACCGCAGCTCAGCCTGAGCAAACCCGGCAGCCTGCGGGTGTCTCTGCCCCCGAATCGCCCTCGCACCCAGGGAACGTTTCTCCTTTGCCAAACCATATTCATGAGCTAGGCAGCGTTGTGTCATGTTTCAGCTGAACGTTTTTTTTTAATAGAAGGAAGCCATTGCAAACACTCTAAGACATTCAAACCAAGAAAAGTCTTTAAAAAAAAACTAAACAGGTTTATATGAGCTTAATTCTCTCCTAACAATTTTAAAAGCCATTTGTACATGTGCACATGTATGTATAGACACACACAGCCTTTTTTAAGCAGCCAACTCCAGACCCTCTGTCCATCCCACGCTCCTGTTTCAGAATAAAGAAGGAGAAGGGGGACTGAAGTCCTGTAAAATCATGGCTTACAGCCCAGGGGCACAACCTTTATTGTGGGCATACGGGGTTCAGTGCTAGACAGTAATAGAACTTTTTTTCCTCTCGAGTCAGCATAAGGCAACAATGAAACAATTCTGCAATGTCAGTTTTCAGAACATAACCATTCTTCAAAAAAAGGATAACTCCGTTACCATGTTGAACACAACTGCTAGATTACAGGTACCCAGCAATTCACATCTGATGAACAGCTCCCCATAGGGAGATCTAGCTTTATTTGAAGCAGACATTGCTTTGAAGAGAAAAAGATCATCTCAAAAGAAAATTGAAGATAAAAATAAAACCTGCAGCTGTCAATTTTTGGAAAATTTTGACTACTCCACGATAGTCAAATGGTCAAGTTAGCCAACTTCTTATCAAGTTGCTGTCAAGACCTTAGAAGGCCACATTAAATAACACAGGTCAAGAACTCTGAATCATGAGAACAGCCCTTTGAACGCTAAATCCTGAGAAATGTGAGCTGCTCGCCTAATAAGTTGCTTAACTGGAACACGTAAATAAATATAATGTTTATGCAACACTTAACAAGATGAAAATAACTAGATCAGGTACGGGGTTTGTAAGAGTAGCTGACTGTAGGATGGTCACCTGTCCCTGCTATGCTGGCGCAACAGGATAGTGGGGTTGTTAATGCTTTATTGTGATTAGTAGCTGAAATGGGGCTTATCTTGGTATCTCGTTTAGAAAGCTTTCTTCTCCCATAAAATGGGACCGAGTACATGGTATTGCAAACCATCCCCCCACCAGATACGGGGAGCACTGCTGTGGGCTACAATTTTGGGGACCCCTTTATAACAACACATCCTCCTGCATGGAGAAACGCAGCAGCTCCCGCAGAAGCGGCTCCTGCAGCCTCTGGCCCGGGGAGGACACCCCACCTTAGCAGGAGGGGGGCTGTAGAGGCTAGGAGGCCCCCAGGGAGCAAAAAGTCCCCTTCACTGTCTAGCTCAGAGCATGTCAGCAGCAGTTGAGGTTGTGCTGTCATTTACAGGACAGCGTAGAGGAAGAAAGAAAGAAAGTCAAGTTTCTGCCTCCTCCTTCAGTGGGTGGACAACAGCTAGTACCCGAGCCCACAAAGCCTGGAGCGGCCGGGGCAGGAGCGGGCCCTGCTGCGGCCCTTCCCACCGGGATAACACAAAAGGAGGCCCCGGGAAGCACCAGCTGGGCTGAGCCACGACCCAAAGGCATGTAAAGAAACCCCCTCTAACCAGAGGGGAAGAGGATGCAAAACGAGAACCGTAATCACTGTAAGAAGGCTTCTAGCTGCTGCCCTTAAAAAGTGGTTTATAGTAGATGGCTTATTCCAACTGTTAATGTAAAAGCACTGTTTGCTTTGTTCATTTTTTTCATGTTAGAAATCAAAACAAACTTTTTTCTGATTATTTGTACACAGAATTAACACCCAGACTTCAAAGGTACTTAACTCTGATGAAGCCCCATGCTTGCAATGTGCCCTTTTCATTTTTCCACAAATAAAGCCGAAGCAGACAGATGAACAATGAAAGACTTCTCCAAAAACAGTAATATGTATTTTATACTGAAGTATAAATAAACATCAATTCTTTGCAAGAAAAGTAACAGTTTTGACATTGTTGCAAAGCAGAATGATTGATTGCAATATCAGAAGCTTAATGAAACTTAAGTAGGAGAGAGACCCTGGTGAGGGGAGCATGTACAGTGTTGAGTCCACCTGAGGAGCAGTTCAGATTGCGCTGGGGACGGAAGCGCAGGCTCCCAAGTGAAGAGTGCACAGAGGAGGATTGCACAGGGCGGCCTCCTGCCTCCGAGAGCCTTCAGCTGCCCTGGAACAAGTTCCGGGACCTTGGGAGGGCGATGGATGAGCCGACCTTGCCTCTTTGTGCCTAGTTACCCCCTCGCCAGCACAGTTTTTAACCCCATGTCATCGCACTCTTCTGGACACACATGACAAGTGATGAAAGCGCTGCAATCACACGGAGAAGCAGATCCAGCAGTGATCCTGCTTGCAGGGCATTTTCTATGAAATTCTTAAAATTCATACCGTAGCATGTGTAGTTATTCCAGCACTTCCCCCCCGCTGCACATTAGAGGCAGCAACATCCATTAGGTCTCAAGCTGAAGTTCATTTTGAGCACGTTCACTAACAATAGTTACAGACTGTTTACAGCAAAAGTAGTGCTTTGAAAAGATGCAAACAGTGCTTCATTGAAGCCTATGGATCTTTTTGCTATACATGTTGCAGGAAGTCTAGAGAACACTTCAAGCAAATCTGTTTCCTGTTAAATCCACATGCTATCAGTCACACAAGGTCTTCTGTGTTAGAATTTAAATAAAACAGGCAAAGGCAGCAAAAAAATAAAACAGAATAATTTGGGAAAACAGCAAGATTTCAGGCTTAATTTTCGAAGAATTGAAATTTGGGGGAAGAAAAGCAGCTATTTCTCTCCTCAAGGCCACCACTGAACGCTTCAGCATCATTCACCCACTGTGACTTCCTAACCTGTGGCCTGAAGGATGCTTGACTAAATGTTAAACTGAGACCCCACTTACGAAAGTGCTTGTTTGGAATTGTCCTCTCGCAGCAGGACGCATCCAGATTTACATTCCTGTGAGGCAATCTTGCTCCCGTCAAAATTAATAAGAAAACTGCAAAGCGGAATTTAACCTATTCTGATTCCATTCACTGTCACTTCATTATGTGGTATCAAGAGATCTGAAATCAGTTCTTCCACACAAGGTCACAAATGTGCCCAAGACTTAACACGAATAAACATCCAAGAGGGTGAGCGACAGCTTGACAGAGGAGGCAAACATAAGTTTTTTTAGGAAGTCAAACAATCACTTATATTATGGTGATTTCTGGCTCCCTAGGAAATAGAGTCAATTTTTTAATTAGTTCCAACCTCAAACAACGTTGTTTTGTTTAAATACGTGTATCTGAGAACTAAAAAGGAAGGCACTTATTCAGGACATACAGACAATAAAGAAAACTACCCAAACTATAATTATATGGCATAAAGTCCAGAACAGACATTTAAAAGATTTTTGCATATGCGTATCATCAGTTTTCCATATTAAAACTATATATAAATTTTTGGTTACTAATAGTTTCAAGCTTATTTTCACATTTTTTTTTACTGAAGAACAATATATTGAGTAATTTGTAAACATAAATATTTTTCTCTTTGTAGTAATTTAAAAGTTATCTCCAGAAAAGTGTTATTTTGGCACCTTTCAGCATAGTGTCCATGTAAACATTTATTCCTTCAATTCCTTCCACACACAACCACTAAATTTCCATAGCCATTGCCTTCAGTAAGTCACTCCTATATCTATTAAATAAATATGTTGCTGGAACGTGCTTAAATTAGTATCTTAGGCTACGAAATCTGGTTTTTCTTAGACTAAGCATTGGTTGTTTGATGGTAGGTTTGCTCTCAAAGAGCATTGCCTCATTTTCTGTAGTTGGAAATCTGTTCCTGTAGATCAGGGGATATTCCTTCTGAAACTAGAAAACACACAACCAGAAAAAAATTAGATCAGACTCCATTCTAAAGACATAAATATGCAGAACTTGAGAACAAATGACCTTGAGCAGATACCTATCAGCAGAAAGAGAAAAGCTATCAGCACATAAATCAAGTTTGATGTGACCGTTAACACAAGAAGAGGCCACCTTGAGCGTTCGAGTTTGCAATTCAAGAACAGTGACTCAGATTTGATCAGACACTTCATCTACTGCTGAAATGGAAAAAAAAAAAAAAAAAAAAAAAAAAAAAAAAAAAAAAAACACAACACACCTCAATTTCTTCCTAGAGCCTTTTAGCTGCTGTGCCTGGAGTAGGGCTATAAGCAAAAGCACTAGTGCTATGGAACAGTTAAGTGATGGCCTGCAGGACGCTGCAGCCGCTGCCCGGCGCCGTTTGCTCTCAGCAGCGGCAGGGCTGCCGTGTGGAGCCGCGCTGTGCGGCCAGCACCGGCGCACGCTCCGTTTCCACCTGGAAAGCTGCCGCTGAGGAACCACAACGATGAACACACCTGGCCTAAAGGAAAGCTACAACTGAGCAGATTTGCTTACAGAAAAGCTTTCTTCTTAACTAAGGAGGAATTTTTCCTTTTTTTTTCAGTCCCAGACATACACAACAAAAAGTATCTGGGTTCATAGACAAGACATGCTTTTGACATTGTCAAAAAAAAAAAAAAAAAAAAAAAAAAAAAAGGGAATGAGCAGCAAGTCAGAGGGTCAGATATAAGGCTTTTGGATCAGGTTGGGGACTCCCTGCAAGTTTAAGCACATATTTTCAAAATCTACTATTAGAGGATTTTACTTCATTCCCTTCCTTGCTTAAAGGGCTGCTGTGCATCACTTCTCACTGCTTATTTACTCAAAAGTACTAATCTACTGTAATTAACTACTCTTCCTTTCATGAAAGAAATTTTAATTAACAAAGAAACAGAAGACTGGGAGACCAAGCTTCAAAACCTTTAAACAACATATCAAAAGAAAAAATATATAGTGTGTATGTGTGTATATAGCTATAGCTATAAAAGAAGCTTTAGGTGAGGCCTTGAAAAAAGGTAGTGTGAGAAAAAAAGAGAAAGAGAGCAAAAAGCTTTGAAAAGCTGTTTTTTTTTTTTTCCTGTTTCAGTCACAAGACTTGCTTAAGAGATTCTAGGACAAGTACAATGTTATTTAATTGGTCAGAGCCACTTGCCA